GAAAACGTCGAAACGAGGGACACACCATCATGGTCAACTATATACGCTGAGGGACATAAACATGGTCATATATATATATATATATATATATTCATCAGTAAACAGCTGTACAGAGTATAGTGTGGGTCTATCATTTAACCGAACTGGACCGAGTGAAAACTTCGTGCAGGATCACGCAGTATAAGATTTTATTATTCACCCCTTCGTACGGGTGCGAGTTTTATTTTTCTAGAAGTGGATTTCCTTTTAGACAGTTTTCAAATCTCGAGAGGAAAAAAAAGCTAATTAAAATCACCGCCGAGAATTTCGCCCTTTCGCCGCCGCGGGCATCGCGTCGATTCACGTTTTCGATAAAGCCCGGCCAAATGAAAATGATAATATATTGGTATAAGACGGTATAGCCGGTATATATAGCGAATTAAATTACTCATACACACACCGGTGTATATAAATGTATTGCTCAGTCGCCTGCAAGGTTTCGAATAATATTGAATACTTCGAGGATATATTCGTCAACCGATATTGTTGTGTAGACGGAAAATAATAGGAGAGACTACAGTATGATGGGTATTACACACACCTACCTACGTATATGTAGAGAGATTACACATAGCAGCTACAATATGGTATACGTCGTAAAGCGTTTAAACCCTTGAACGGTCCACGATTAATATCAGTTGCGTGTGTGCATACAGGGTGATACTTTCAAGTTTAACAGACGTGTTCTGCAACTTGACGACTCGACTTTCCATTTGATTTTTATCTGTCGAAAAAATCGTTTTTACATAATAATAAAGTTAAAAGACTTTTAGTAGTAGGTACTCTAGTTCTAGACTACGATAATATTCACTGTCTACAGGAGCTATTTAAAAATCTAATTTTTCATGACTGCACTGTTTTCAGATATTTTACTCTGTACATTTTATTTTTTGATGACAACTCATTACGTGAACTTAATATACATTTTTACGAATATCATCGTTCGTTTATTTTTTTACACATTTCGTATTCGTCATTATCGGTTCAATTTATGAAAATCTAAATTTAAAAAATGTAGTTCTGTCGTGAATACTAAGTACATTGGGGAAAAGATGTCCAAAATGTGGCTATCACCACCTCGGGAAAATCACGGTGTCACCTTTCTCTGTTTGTATACAAATACAGTATAAAATGATTATCACGTATATATTATAGTTGAAACATGGAAATCGACCGAGGTACCTAATGAGTATACTTGTTGTGGAAAAGAATCACCCCGTATAATATAATAATACAAAACAGACGCCCTGACACGGCGGTCAGCTGGATAAATGCGAATGCGTGAACTCCGAATAGAACAGGTCAGACCGACCGGCGTCATTCATTCGCCAAATGAATTGAGCTCAGCTCGAAATTAACTCGGGAAAATCGAATCGACTATTGTTCGCACTCTCTCGCGGCGGGCTAATCTATAATCTGATAATTCTATAGCGGTGTGTATATTGTTCTCTTCAAATTAGGTACGTTCAGATACTTTTTTCCAATCGTGTCATCAAATATATTTATATGTATATTGTAGACACTGCAACGTAGAAATGCAAAACGTTTTCAAAACTGTTCGTCTCGTCACTGCTTGTTGGCGGCACTTTGCATATAACCGTGAGTTACTTCCTGCAGCAATGTATATAGTATTAAGCCGACTTCTGTTCCAATCGACTCATTACAAAACAGCAAAAACTAAAATCAAGGAAGATTGAAATAATACATGTATTCATTTTGACACAATATGAAATTTATAAAAATAAATACAACTTATTTAAGTAAAAAAAAAAAAACCGGTATAATACCTCTGACGTACAGATACCTATACTATATAAATGCCACTTTCACGACTGCGATTTTATAGAGAATAATATTTAAACGATTGTTAATGATGCCGATCAGTGGAGTATCTAATGAGGACATAAACAACCCAAAAATATTAGCACAGGCCCGGACATCATTATGTCTTACTTAATTTTCTTTTATTACATTAATTTTGTAATTAGCAAAGTTATGTAGATTAAAAAGCTATTATTGAGCTGTAATGTATTATATTGTTAATTACCTATTATATGTAATAATTCTACTAATTCTAGCTCTCTAATGTTCGGTTGTTCCTTTTTCGATTACAACAAAATAATAAGATCGATTTTGTCAAAAACTGTAATTGTTAAGTAAAGTATATTCTCGTTCATCCCATGTTTGTATTAAAATAATATAATATTAGTAATATCAAATGATACTGGTTTATATTTTCTGTGAACATTTTCAATTTTATTTAAGAATAAAGACAGTATCCGATAGACCAGGGGTCGCCAACCTTTTACAACAAGTCGGCTACATTTAAAGTTTTAAGTATCTGATGATCACTGATCGACCACTATTTATTTAAATAGGTGTATTATTTATGTTATTACATGCAACACAATAATACATTTTACACATAATACCTAATATTCTTCTTTTATTATTTCTCTATCGGAAAATGGTATGCTTCTCATCGCTAACAAATACCATTGATTATAAATACTAGTATTTATAATCAATGCAAATACTTTAATTGTATATAATGCACAGAAGCGTGTTTAAGTTAGGCAAGTGATCAACCGATGTAGGGATATAATAATTAATCTTTAATACGATCGACCAATATTTCTCTAAAGATCGAATGGTTGCCGACCTCCATGATAGACGATAGGCACATAAAACACAATATTTAATAAAACAGTAAATTTATTATTGAATTTAATTATAATATTCTTGATTTGTTTTTAATCTTGTTTGTTATTTTTAAACTTTTTATTAGATTTTGCTCGGACACAAATTTATAATTATCTCAAAAAAGTATTTTCAATCCAGACTAATTTATAAAAAGCCATCAGTGTAATTTATATTGTAAATTAAAACACAAAATTTGATTATTCGTTCATCTTAATTATCTATGGGCTTAAACATTTTTTATGCACACTTTTTTAAAATCTTGACCATTTTTGGTTAAGATAAGCTCTACTAAGAATAGTAATACGATTATTTATCACAGAAGCTTTCAAGATATATTCACTCAATCACTCAACGTCTTTAATAAGTTTTTGTTTTAAATCTCCGTGTTATTTCATAAATACATTTTCTTTTAAGAGGATACTACCCGCGAGTTCGTTGTTTCCGTCTTACAAACGTACTACATGGCAAATTTTCGTTCACAAGTTTCAATAGTGTTTTGAGATTAGAGTGAATTGACTATTATCGAACTTTTAGATAAGAACATTATCAGTGCTTAAGTTTGGCGGTTTTTGATGTTTTCATTTTCAAGCAACAAATGATATATAGTAAAAATTAAAAATATTCATATCCCGCTTGAAAATTAAAATATCTAATAAAAGCCGACGCTCAGGCTCAGATAATTTTCTTACCTAAAAGTTTGATAATAGGTAAAGTCACTGTAATATCAAACTAACTGCACACTATTGAAACTATATAGAGAGCGAAAATGTGCTATGTTACACGTGTGTAAGACAAGTAACAAATGCATCGGTCCTCTTAAGTTCATTTGATTTAATTATAAATATTTTGCAGCTTTCACGAAAAAACAACGTATAGGTCGGCACTTACTACTTTCCTAGAAATATATAAATGTTTATACAATTAAATTGATATTTCTGCAAAAATGGTTTTAAAAAAGAAATACTTTCCGGGCGGAAATAATTAAAATATCAAAAGGCACGTTCACATTTTTTCAAATTCCTAGCGAGCGGTTTTTACAATCATTTTTTTTTTTCTATAAACACTTTTTAATTATCAAATAAGGTCTTGAGTAATATTTTATGTGTGTAGCACATTTGTAAACGGTATTCAAACAATATTGTGTTAAGAGGCTTTTTTTTTTTGCTGTGCAATAAGTTTAGATTCCTAACGCAATGATAGTAAATCATTGCTTTCAAATTTGTAATAATATTAATTACAACACATAATATATTCACCACTGCAACATCCGGCACCGGAGCAAACAAAGCGAGACGAGTGCTCAAACGACAAACATTTGAATTTTTTGTGTTCCGTGTAATTACTACATACATCACTCGAGTGTTTAACTGTGCAATGTTCAAAATTCAAATTGCAAATACCTACAAAAGTTTACTGTAACCATTATACCGACCTCTCGGAACTGAGTAATACAGAAACCACCATCTTTCAACACACTGCAACTTTGACATAGCTATATAGGTATGTACCAAGTACATTTTCCGCGAAATGGTTTTCCACTCCTAATTTATGTATACATTATTAACTTATGCTATTAACTTGTGCGCTATTCAATAATTTAATTATTATTGTGTTGGTGACTCGAAACTATCGGCGCCCGATTGTCGAAGAGACGAATGATTTGTGCATAATTTTACGATGGAAAATATTTATTTTTTCCTGAGTACTTACGACCTACCTCATGCCTGTTGTAATCACGAGGGAATGACTTTTCAATGGCCGTAGAACAATATAGCTACCTGTCTTAAACTATAATGCCTAAGCACCCACGTCTGACACGGATGCGTTTCGCTCGAAGTAATCGTATGCGATAAATACAACAAAAATAAGTATTACGATTATCCGAGCTTAGTTCAAACTATAATATTATGCAAAATTGTAGAACACTGCAGCAAAGCAGGTATACACCGAGAGTGGTTTTGCTTAAGCCGAGTGTAAGTAATAGACGGCGACACCAAATAATAATGGCCGTCGCCTTATGGGGTTTGGCGGCGGCATAAGTCAACCTTTGTCCCGCCAAATTATTTTTGTCATTAATCTAGTATATACTTATATTACTTATAACAATATGTTACTATTACGGCAGTGTTGTGGCCCGCGGTGCGTTGCGGATAAAATATCGTAATTATTTGTAGTATATAATTAATATTGTTTTACTTAATTTATTGTGTAAACCCACGACTGTTATTTTAATTAATTTAATATTATCCGTTTTTCAGCCCCTTACAACATACGAAACTTAAACGACGCCGTGTTCTCCAACCCACTGGGGACGAAACAGTGTACAGTTTCAGGAGTGCTTTATAATCACAGTCAAAAGGTATATACAGTGTGCCATTTTAACATTTTATCGCAGCCGTAAATTAATTATAAGTATAATATAACGGCGATGGGCCTCAGCCGCCGTCTGCAGCAAAACGCAGAATGCATAGTATTTTTGATTCGATGTGCGTACATACGAACTTAAATAATAGTTTAACTGTACATATACTAAATAATATATATTATATACTTTGTACTATTCGCCGTATGTACACACCTGTCGCAGCATTTCGGCACCTTGACGGCATACAATTTACGCAATTAATGGTATATAACCGCTTTTTGTGTTCCTTATTTATGTATACCTAAGTACATAGGTGGGCATTGTATACATAAAACATCGTTCGTTGTGTTATAGGCTACTCGAAGTATGAGGTAGAATAATATTATAATGTATTATACCGCGGTACGTAAAGTACGTATAATATCAATACCAGCTATAATATCGTATACATGTAGTATACCGATGTTAGTACCTAATGCCTATACCTAAAGGTTACGTTTTACAAAAAAATAACATGCTAGATATACAGAGCATATATGATGGTTATCGTTCGATTTCATACTACGAAAATATGATTCGTTTTCCAATAATTTTGTATGGGCCATGTATACCTGCAACCTAAAAATAATTTTCGCGACGGTTCAAGTCTCAACCCAACCTTCCCCTTGTCGTGCCTTCATCAATTCCTACATAAATACATGGAATATATTATATAATATCGTGATGTCAAATATATACGTCAGACACTAAACTATATAATACCGTTGGTCGTTGCCAACCAGATCGCGAGTTGCACCACCCTGCTTGAACGACCGCTGGCATTCTGTAAATTAACAATTTCTAAATTGATTACATCCCCGTAAATTCGATTTCCCGCGACCCACGTGCCTACACTATATTCTTTACTTAATCAATTTCAAATTTCCTTTTCGCGATTCTCGAACATCGAGACATTTACCTGTTCTCCCGATATTACGGATGCAGAATTAGCTGCACGTCAGACGATTACAAAATTAGCCATAAACGCTGCAGGGCACCCATCATCTTTAGTTTTTAATATTTATTGATCGTCCATAAAATTATTCTCCGTGCGCGAAAAATTGTCTGGCAGCACGATCACTCTCTACTCGAAACAAAATTTGACTGAGCAATCAAAGGGTTTGGACTGCAGCACTTAAACCATAGTATTTACACTACCTATATATATATATATATATATATATATATATATAT